CACACTGGTACCGTGGGCAGACTAGAAGGCACACTGGTACCGTGGGCAGACTAGAAGGCACACTGGCGTCCTAGAGGAAGAAAGGAGAGGATGAAAGGAAGGCAGGCGTTCCTGGCAGAGAAGAGTCGAGGGGTTTACAGAATGGATCACACACATAAAGAACACCACACTGGAAAAATAAGGACGGAACCGTACCTAGACACACTGCGGTGGGACTGGAGAACACCAAACAGAGCAGCCAGGGAGCAAGACAGATCACCTACAAAGGAACAAGAGTTAGCACGACAGAGGCCACCCGCAAAAGAGGAAAGGAATACGCAAAGCAAACAGCTGGGAGAAACAAAGTAACCACAATAAATGCAAACAGACTAGATGTTGAAGTAAATAAATCACGAGGGCGTCAGACACAATGGAAAATGCCCAGCTCTTGTAACTGAGAGACACCGCTCAATGAAAACCCCTGGGAGGCCGAGAGAAAAGGGATATTAAAATGATACAGCAAATGCCAGTCAAAAGGAAGCTGGAAAGGCTGTCTTTATAACAGACAGCACGGAGTAAGTCAAAAGCAGAGTTGGGGAATGAAGAAGTCAGTATGTAATGATAAAAAGGGTGATTCACCAGGAATATACGGCAAGTGAACCAGCCCTGTAACTAATTATCTATGGAAACATAGTCTCCAAAGATCTCAGGAAGATACTGACAGACTCGCTGTAGAAAAAGAGAGCCTTGCTATCCCAGAAGAAAGTACCACCTTGATGCGTGACCTGTCAAAGGGGCAGAAACAAAGGATGGGGATTTGAGTTTACTAGATACCGTATATACTCGAGTTTAAGCTGACCCGAGTATCAGCCAAGGCACCAAATTTTACCACCAAAACTACATTCAAAATGTGCTGAAAAACTCGGCTTATATACGGTATATGAAACCTGTACCCACCAGTAAATATACCGTCTTTAAGAACACTGGGCTACTCACAAAAATTGATCACATACTAGGTCAATAGGCAAATCTTAACAAGTTTCGAAGAGATCCAGGAAAGCCACTGATATTCCATAACCAGAGTGCCGTGAACTAGAAAGACACATCTCTTAATTCTATTGGAAAATTCCCCAACACTTATGGATGGCTCATAGATTAAAGAACATAACAGAAACTTTTAAGATACCCGAAATTAAAAAATAAGGAAAACACGTGTCAAAACTTAAGGGGTGGCTTATCAACCAAGTGAAGAGAAAACCTAACAGATTGGGAGGAAAATATTGGGGAGCCACATAGCAAGCTGCTAAGGCTATATATTAAAGAAGCTGAATAGCAAAAAAAAAGAGACGGAAAATCCAATCCAAACAATCAGTCGAAAAAGGAGTCGAATATAGACAATCATCCACGAGGATGTGCACATGGTCAACAAGCATGTTAGACGGTGCTTGGTGCCGCCACAGTTCAGAGATGCAAACAGAAAACCACAATGCAGCACCACTTCAGCCCCGAGGACGGCTGTGGGACATGCGTGTGCACACACACATCCACAGAGTAACAGGTGCTGGCAGAGGCGGAGACACTGGCCCTTCATCCAGAGGCATGGGAAAGCACCATGGCAGAGCTGCTATGGAAAACAAGTGGGCATCTCCCCCTGTGCCCAGCCCCACCCCCTCCGCCCCAGCTGGGCCCCCTGAGGAAGTGAAGGCCACGTGGTCTTTTCTGTCTTACTCATTGTTTGCATTTTTATCTTTGGATGATGATTCTTTTATGCTTACCATTTTATTGTTTCTGTCTTTGATTGTTTCTGCTGGGTGTATCCAGTGTGTGAGACAGAGAATAACTGATGCAGGGTTCCAGGGGAGGGGTGCACAGAGAGAATAACTGATGCAGGGTTCCAGGGGAGGGGTGCACAGAGAGAATAACTGATGCAGGGTTCCAGGGGAGGGGTGCACAGAGAATAACTGATGCAGGGTTCCAGGGGAGGGGTGCACAGAGAGAATA